GAGTTCAGGAGGCAGAGTGCATCTGAATCTAGAGCCAAAAAGAGAGGTCAGGGCTGTAAATAGGGATGGGAGGGCCTTGAACAATCATCAGAGTGCATAGTGTGTGGGTCAGAGGCAAAGAGAGAGGGAGAAGACAGGCAAAACAGGATTCTGGGGGTCTAGGGGGTCAACAGTCATGGGAGAAAGGGGGAGCGAGAGTGGGTAGTGTCAGAAGTCAAGGGGCAGGTAGACATCAGAAAGAGGAACCTCTTGCAAAGATGTCAAGGAACTGAGGATGGACCTTGGATTTGATCAGGATGAGGGTCAGGGAAAGATGGGGTGAAAACCAGAAGGGTCCCCATAATGTCCCAGCACATGAAACAGTTGGGAGCCATTGTTGGAGAGATGAACAGATGATGGTTGGATGGATGGACAGAAAATGGATGTGTGGATGAATTGATGGATGGACGGATGGATGGATGGATGGATGGATGGATGGATGGATGGATGGACTGATGAAAAGACAGTAGTCTGAGAGATCAGAAAATGCTTCGTGAAAGAGGTGGAACTAAACTTTGTCTCAGTGTGGAGACAAAGGAGAGGGGATCGCCACATGAAAGCACCATTAGTCAGGAATGAGCTGGTGCCCATAGGCTCAGGGATAGGTTCACCTGGCTGAAAGATGGGAAACTGTGGGAAGGAACACCCAGAGGCCCCAGGATGAGGCCAGGAGAGGTCAGGCAGGTCTGAGCTACACCACACAGCTGCTCAAGGGGCCAAGGCGCTCAGAATCTTTGTTAGCACTGAGGATTGGATGGTGACCGGGAAAGCCTTAGGGGGAAGGGGAACATACTGGATCACTCCAATGTACGAGTGGCACCTGTCCTGGATGGGGGGGCTGGGCACAGGATGCCTCTGGGCAATGGACCCACCAGGGATGCCCCAGCCTCTGGGTGGCTGACTGCCCACCCACCCCACCCCAGAACACAGCTGCAGCCCTGCATCAGTCATGCCCGGCAGGTTCCAGATTGGCCCCCAGGGGACAGGACCCAGGTGCTGGCCCAGCCGGTTTTAGTCCGAGCATCAGTCACCGTGGTATGTTTTCGGCGGCGGGACCTACCTCACCGTCCTAGGTAAGTGGCTCTCACCACCTTTTCCAATCCATCCCACTCCTCTGCTATCTTGGGAAAGTCATTCTTCTCTCTGGGGGCTGCTTCCCTCTGCTCTGCCAGCCTTGCAGACCGACCTCCACTTTTTCCATGGGGTCTGGGGAAGGCAGGTTGGTCTCCGGGCAGCCAGCAGGAAGGACCCCAATAGCCACTCCAGAGTCTGACAGTCAGACATGACCAAATCCTAGAGGCCTGGGCTGGGGTGTTGGCCTAGGAAAGGGGCTCCTTACCCTCTCCCAGGGCAGATGCTCGCATAGGGACCAGAGACCAGTTCTGACAAGGATCCCTGGGGCAGCCTTAGAGACAGTCCCAAGTGCCGAGGGTCTGGGCCGAGGGCTAGATGCCCATCCAACCTGGGAGAGTCACAGGGGGTGGGGGCAAGGCCAGGGCTATGACCCAGCCTTCGGGGACACAAAGTGCAGCCAGAGCAGAAGCCCATGGACAGGGGAGAGAAGGGTTGGCTCACTCTAGGCTGAAGCTCTCAGAGCCTCTGCTGGGCCTTGAAAATGTGGGGTCAGAGAGACACAGGTGAGATGGGGCTAGCTAGCCAGAAGCCTGACAGTCTCAGAGCAGTGGTCAGGAAAGAACAGGTCCCATGGGCAGAGACTCATCTGACCCTGGAGCTGTGTAACTCCAGGGGCCCAGGTATCTCATCTGTCCAAGGGTCAGCCTCCTGCAGGGTGTTAGACTCAGGAGATGATGAAGGGGGAGGTGAACGGGGAACTTAGAGCTATTGGGCTGCCGTGTAAATCTTGGGTCATCAGAGGTACTGAGGTGGCGGTGGGGCCTCTGTGCTCATCATCTGGGGGAGCAGTGCCAAGAACACAGAGAGATTAAGGGTACTGGAATCAGGGCATAAGGTACAGGGAGACAGGCAGAGCCAGAAGGAGCCCTCAGGCTTTGGCTACAAGGACCGAGCCTTCCCTGGAGAGCTGAGGCCTGACTGGGGCAAAGGCAGGTGCCGAGGGGAGACAGGGGGCCCCAGGCCCAACTGTGTGTTGGCTCAGGCTCGGGTCCTCTCCACACGCTCTCAGGACTATCCTGGCTGGTTGGGTGCCCGACCTCAGGTCACAGAGGAGGCACCAGGCTCCAGAGGAATGCAGTGAGGTGGGGCCTGATGCTGGGCTGAGGCCTGGGAGGTCAGGGGCAGACTGCACTCAGACTCTGGAGACCAGGAGGAGGGAGGCCCTGGTTACACTTGGGGAAACTGAGGCTACAGGTAGAAGGGCTTGGTCAGGTCACCTGGGAGAGGTGACTAGGAAGGGCTTCTGGTGGGGTGGGGACTGTCTGATGTTCAGAGGCTGAGTAGAAAGATTGAGCAAAGACGGAAGGAGGGTCCCCTGGGTGAAAAAACACAAACAGCACAGGATGGGTCACAAAGGCTGTAGATTAGTGGGGGGGCTACACCAACACCTGGACTCTCCTCTGAATCTCACACCCCTTCCCTGTCCTCACAGGTCAGCCCAAGTCCGCACCTTCAGTCACCCTGTTCCCGCCATCCAGTGAGGAGCTTGACAAGAACAAGGCCACACTGGTGTGTCTGGTCAGTGACTTCTACCCCGGCAGCGTGACGGTGGCCTGGAAGGCAAATGGCAAGCCTGTCACCCAGGGCGTGGAGACCACCAAGGCCTCGAAACAGAGCAACAACAAGTACGCGGCCAGCAGCTACCTGAGCCTGCGCTCGAAAGCAGAGTGGAGCTCTGTCAGCAGCTTCAGCTGCCAGGTCACGCACGACGGCAACACTGTGGAGAAGACAGTGGTCCCCTCAGAGTGTTCGTAGGACCCTGAGTCCCCCACGTCTGGGGGCTCCCCTCAGCCGGACACTCCATTCCCCGGCTCTCCCTCTGCCCTGAGACCCCTGCCTGGTCTGCTCAGACTGGGCAGGTCTTGCTCCCTCCCCGTTTCTACTTCTCCTAAATAAATTCTAATCATTTATCATCTGACATTTCTCATGTGTGTGCTGTGTTCTGGAAGGGTCTCTAGGGTAAAGGTCAGTAACGAAGGGCAGGAGAGCAGTGACATGGGATGGATCTACCTNTGGTCTCTAGGTTAAAGGTCAGTAACGAAGGACAGGAGAGCAGTGACATGGGATGGATCTACCTCTGGTCCCCTCAGCCTGATTCAGGGTCAATGTTTGTGGGAGCCTTGACTCAGAGCAAGAACCTTTGCTGGGGTGACTCATGGGACACAGTTTGTTTCAGCCGGGAAGGGACAAGGGCTGAGTAAGAGACATCCAAGCCCTTGGGAGAAANCAGCTGGGAAGGGACAAGGGCTGAGTAAGAGACATCCAAGCCCTTCGGGGAAATCAGGGAAAAATGGAGAGGGTCTAAGGAGACACCAGTGGCTACACATGAAAATATTGGGAAAGAAAACACTGAGCCAAGGCCAAGGTCTTTGGGAAGGCCATTGAACTTCCCTGTTCCATTAAGGAACCCAATGGGGAGTCGCATTACCAGGTGAGGGGTGTGTGGTTGTCCCGTCACCTTGGAGCCCTGAAAAGCTTTGAACAATGCATCCCATAGTATATTTGTCAAACTTTGACACTGCATGTCAGCTAAGTCATGACACTAAGACTGGGAGGAGAGAAACTGTTTAATATCTTACAGCCTAAAAATTGTTCACATCCCTGAGCAACTCAGGAAGCCTGGAACACTCTTTGAGACATGGCTAATGGTGCTGGGAACATGGGGTGAGGCTGAGGCACAAAGACACTCACTTTCTGTTCTCATAGGCCTGGGCAAGGTCAGGCTCATAGTGACCCTAAAATTGGTCTGGGACTTTCATCATTAAGAACCTCGACAAGTGAAGTCAGGTCAGGGTGAGACATTTTATGGTTGATTTATGGATGGAGCAGGTGATGTCAGCCCCCAGGATGTGAAGGACAGTGAAGGGAACTTGATGACTTGGAGAGCACTGCGACCTGGACACACAATAGGCATCCAGTGATGTCTCAGGGAGGGCATGTCAACTGGATTTCAGGAGTAAAGTAAGGGCAGGTCAGACTAGCTCAGAGCAGGGTGAGTGTGGCCTGTGGGTTATAGCAAGGTCATGCTTCCCTGGTGACACAGCACACACAGACCACGCTACCCATGGCAGGGATGGAAGATTATATTTCNTACCCATGGCAGGGATGGCAGGTTATATTCCCAAAGTCACCCTAAAGTAAATGCTGGCAGTTCATAAACGACCACCCTGACATCACCCAGTATAGACCCAAACTAGACTGTCCCTGGGGAAGATAAGCCTGGGCCCCTGATTCCATCCTTTAGGACACAGGTAGGTACCAGTGACTCGGTAACCTGGCCAGCCTGCCTCTCCCTGGAAAGGGAGGGCCTGGGGGCTTAGGGAATACAAGCTGTCCCACCTTCATGCTCTCACCGAAGTTAGGGTTGTATGGACATAAGAGAGGAGTGCCTTCCATTTCCATGGAGGCTCAGTGGCAATGACACAAATGCCCTCCAAACTGACCCCAAATTCCAGGACACAATAGGAGAAACAGCATATCTGACATCTAATCCCTTNTATAAGAGAGGAGTGGCTTCCATTTCCATGGAGGCTCAGTGGCAATAACACAAATGCCCTCTAAACTGAACCCAAATCCCAGGAGACAATAGGAGATTTATGGATGGAGTGAGCTTGGGGAAAATTGCTTCCCACAATCCTGTTGCTGTACAAAGCTCTGTGTCATCTATCCTGTAATCTGGGGGATGGGGACAGTGAGTGTGCCCCTTGCAGGGCAGACATCACATTTGGGCACTTACCCAGGCTTCCCCCATCACAGCTGCAGGAGGGGGGCTCAGGGGTGGGGCAGGGCCACCCAGAGACAGGTTTTTGTATGAGCTTGTGTCACAGTGTGTTGTGTTCGGCGGAGGGACCCAGCTGACCGTCCTAGGTGAGTCTCTCCTTCCCCTCCTTCCCTGCTCTTTCAGACATCCTGGAAATTTTCTGCTAATTTGCTCTTTTTCTGGGTCTTGTCTCAGCTGTGGCTGAGCTTTCACTGAGAAACCCAGCCCTTGGGGCCATGAGCGCTTTCCGTGTCTGATCTTACTGTCCTTTTGCCTCTGCTGGTCACCATAAGCCCTTTGCCTCTGGCCCCAGGGAAGGAGGAATGGACAGGGTGACCTATGAACTCTCCTGTCTGTCTGCCTGGGTCAGGCTGGATGCTGGACAGATTCTGCTCTGTCTCCCCTTATGGGCTCTTGTGGGACCAGATTTCTTTCTGGGGGTCACTAGTGGCCCCCACCCTAAGGGGAAGAGGGNGGGGTAACTAGTGGCCCCCACCCTAAGGGGAAGAGGGGTAAGAAGCAATGAGGGGGTCACCATGAGAATATTTTAAAGTGACCTAAACTTTCTGGTCCAGGCTAGAGATGCCCAGGTCAGAGTGCAGGGAAGGTCCCAGGACCGTGGGGCTCATGAGCAAGCACCAGGAGTGTGCAGGGTGGAGGGACCCCCGGGGCCTGCATAGAGCTCCATGCAGAGTCCTGAGCCAGCCTGGGCCCAGGGACCCCTGCAGGAGGAAGTCACAGGGGAGGAGATGGGGCTAGAGGAAGGGTCAGGGAAGGACAGGGCATAAGGACAAGGGGAGCTGCTGGGTCTCTGCAGGTAAAACATCCTCAACAGGGAGATGCAGAGTGTATGGCATGAAAGCTCTAGTGATGATATTTTGAGGGGATGGCATTAACTGTGGAGTGAGAGAAATAGAAGGACAAACAGACAGACTTGTGTTGATCATCAAAACCCTATCCAGTTCGAGATGGTTCAGGAGAGATAGATTTGGCAGGGGGGGACTGACCCCTTAAGTCTAATAAACTACAGCCAAGAGCACAAATGGGTCACTTCAAAAATGTTCATAGATTTCCCCAATAGCAGGTCAGAGAGCTCAGATCATCCTCTGTTGGGACAAACAGAGAAGACAAGAACAGACCCTGTCAGAATACCAGGTAGAGGCAGAGCCTAAAGGATGACAGTCAGCTATGTGTGGCTGAAAGGGGTCCAAAAGGAGAGGGGATGGCAGGTGTTTCTCAGGAAAATAGAGAGGTGCTTTTGGAACACCCCAAATTGCACTTCATGGCATGGCTTTTAGACCCAGAGTGGTCCCTGACCTAGGGATCCTGACAGGATCAGGACGCTGCACCCACATTGAGACTGAGGTCAGGGACTTTCAGGGCGGATACTGAGCCTCTGACCTCCTTTCCCTCCCGCACCCCACAGGTCAGCCCAAGTCCGCACCCTCAGTCACTCTGTTCCCGCCATCCAGTGAGGAGCTTGACAAGAACAAGGCCACACTGGTGTGTCTGGTCAGTGACTTCTACCCCGGCAGCGTGACGGTGGCCTGGAAGGCAAATGGCAAGCCTGTCACCCAGGGCGTGGAGACCACCAAGGCCTCGAAACAGAGCAACAACAAGTACGCGGCCAGCAGCTACCTGAGCCTGCGCTCGAAAGCAGAGTGGAGCTCTGTCAGCAGCTTCAGCTGCCAGGTCACGCACGACGGCAACACTGTGGAGAAGACAGTGGTCCCCTCAGAGTGTTCGTAGGACCCTGAGTCCCCCACGTCTGGGGGCTCCCCTCAGCCGGACACTCCATTCCCCGGCTCTCCCTCTGCCCTGAGACCCCTGCCTGGTCTGCTCAGACTGGGCAGGTCTTGCTCCCTCCCCGTTTCTACTTCTCCTAAATAAATTCTAATCATTTATCATCTGACATTTCTCATGTGTGTGCTGTGTTCTGGAAGGGTCTCTAGGGTAAAGGTCAGTAACGAAGGGCAGGAGAGCAGTGACATGGGATGGATCTACCTCTGGTCCCCTCAGCCTGAATCAGGGCCAATGCCAGTGGGAGCCGAGACCCAGAGCAGGAACCTCTGGTGGGCTGACCCTTGGGACACAGTTCATTTCAGCTGGGAAGGGACAAGGGCTGACTAAGTGGGATCCAGAGCCCTGAGGGAAAATCAGGGAACAATGAGGAGCCTCCCAGGGGGTACCAGGAGGTTTCCAGTGGCTACACATGGAAATAATGGGCCAGGAAAACACTGAGCCAAGGCCATGGTCTTGGGGAACAGACATTGAACTTCCCTGTTTCATCAAGGAACCCAANCATCCGGAGCCCGGCGGCAAATGAGGGAACAATGAAGAGGCTCCCAGGAGGGCACCAGTGGCTACACATGGAAATAATGGGCCAGGAAAACATTGAGTCAAGACCGTGGTCTTGGGGAACAGACATTGAACTTCCCTGTTTCATCAAGGAACCCAATGGGGCCCCATTACCAGGTGAGGGTCTTGTGGTTGCCCCTCACCTCAGAGACCTAGAATGTTCTTAACAGTGCATCCCATACTACATTTTTCAAACTCTGACAATGCATGTTTGCTAAGTGAAGAACCTGACAAGTCTTTAAGCAGAGAAAATGTTTATTATCACATAGCCTAACAATTCCCTGTCATGTTCATGCCCCTGAGCAACCCAGGGAGCCTGGAGCACTTTATCACATGGCTAATTGTGCCAGCAACATGGGGTGAGGCTGAGCCACAAGGAAACTCAGTTTCTGTTCCGATAGACCTGGTCATAGTCAGGGTCAAGGTGACCCTAGCAGTGGCCTGGGACCTCCATCACAAAGAATCTCAGCACCGGAAGTCAGGACCGGGTGAGACCATTTTTGGTTGGTTTATGGATGGAGCAGGTGATGTCAGCCCCCAGGGTAAGAAGGACATGAGAGTGAACTTGATGAATTAGAAAGGCCGCCATTCTGGGCACAGAATGGGCCTCCAGTGATGTCTGGGTTGGGGGAGCATATCAGCGGGATTTCAGGAGTAAGTTAAGGGCAGGTCACACTAGTTCACAACAGAGGAGTGTGGCCTGTGGGTTCAAGCAAGGTCATGCTTCCCTGGTGACACAGCACCCCCAGACCACTCTACCCATGAGAGGGGTGGCACTCTACCCATGGTCACCCTACAGTACATGCTGGTAATTCGTATAGGACCACCCTGACAACAGACCCCAACTAGGCTCTCACTGGGGAAGATAAGCCTGGACCCTGATTTGATTTTTTAGGACGTAGGAAGTTGCCAATGGTCTGTACACAGGCCAGCCTGCGTCCCCCTGGAAGGGGCAGGGGGGGTCAGGGAGTACATGCTGCCCTCTCCTATGATTTCACCGAGGAGATGGAGTTGTTTGGACATACAGGAAGCATCATATCCATTTCCATGGACCCTCACTTGCAGTGACACAAATGCCCTCCAAACTCATCCCAAATCCCAGGAGACAAGAGTACAAGCAGCATATCAGACACCAAATTCCTCTGGGAAATTTGCTTCCCACAATCCCGTTGCTGCACAAAGCCCTGTGTCATCTATCCTGCAATCTGCTGGGGGGCGGGGCCAGTGAGTGTGTCCCCTGCAGGGCCTTTGCCAGCCTGGGAAATTGGCCCAGGCTCCCACCATCACAGCTGCAGGTGGAGGGGCTCAGGGGTGGGGCAAGACCTCCCAGAGACAAGTTTTTGTAAGAGCTTGTGTCACAGTGTTATCCTTTCGGCGGAGGGACCCAGCTGACCGTCCTAGGTGAGTCTCTCCTTCCCCTTCCTTTCCTACTCTGCCAGCTGTTGGGGCAATTTTCTGCTATTTTTGCTCTTTTTCTGGGTTTTGGGTCAGCTTATAGCCTAGTTTTCACCTGGGATCCCAGATTTTGGGACCCCAAGGTCTTCTCCCTCTTAATGTCCAATTTGCCTCTGCTGGTCAACATCAAGCCTTCACCTCTGACCTCAGACACAAAGGCATGAACAGGTTCACCTGTGGACTCTTCTGTCTGTCTGCCTGGGTCATGCTGGATTCTAGACAATTCTGTTCTGTCTTCCCTTATGGGCTCCTGTGGGACCAGATTTATTTCAAGGGGTCACTCGTGGCTCCTATCCTAAGGGGAAGAGAGGAAAGGGGGCACTGAGTGGGTGACCATGTGAATATTTTGTAGTGACCCAGAACCCTCTGGGCCAAGGCTAGACACGCATGGGTCAGAGTTCAGGAAGGTCTTGGGACTGTGGGGCTCATGACCAAGGACCAGGAACTTTGCAGGGCGCAAGGGTTCCCCAGGGACTGCATAGAGCTGCCATGCAGAGTCCTGAGCCAGCCTGAGACACAGGGAACCCTGCAGGAGAAAGGGCACAGGGGGAGGAGATGGTGCTAGAAGGAGGGCCAGGGAAGGACAGGGTATGAGGACAAGGTGCACTCCTGGGTCTCTGCAGGACAAACATCCTCACACAAGGAAACAGGATCTATGGCAAAAAGCTCTAGTGATATGACAAATTTGCAGGGATGGCATTAATTGTAGAAATGAGAGAGACCCAAGGACAGACAGACAGACTTCTGTTTGCTCAGCACAAAAGGTACCCAGTTAAGGACAGTGCAGGAGAAATAGACTTGGGGGTGTAGGGAAAAACTTACCGATTAGGGCGAAGACCCTAAAGCCCCCAGCACAATAGGATCAGGTCAGAAATGTCCTATATTCACCCAACAGGAAGGTAGAGAGCTCAGATCATCCTTTGTGGGGAGAAAGAGACAGACAGACAAACACAGACCTTGTCAGAATACAAGGAAAAGGCAGAGCCAAGAGGGTGGCAGTCAGATGTGTGTGTGGGTCCAAAAGGACAGGTGATGGCAGGTGTCCAGGCTCAGGGTTTCTCAGGAAAATAGGGAGGTGCTTTTGGAACACCCCAAATTGCACTTCATGGCATGGCTTTTAGACCCAGAGTGGTCCCTGACCTAGGGATCCTGACAGGATCAGGACGCTGCACCCACATTGAGACTGAGGTCAGGGGCTTTCAGGGCGGATACTGAGCCTCTGACCTCCTTTCCCTCCCGCACCCCACAGGTCAGCCCAAGTCCGCACCCTCAGTCACCCTGTTCCCGCCATCCAGTGAGGAGCTTGACAAGAACAAGGCCACACTGGTGTGTCTGGTCAGTGACTTCTACCCCGGCAGCGTGACGGTGGCCTGGAAGGCAAATGGCAAGCCTGTCACCCAGGGCGTGGAGACCACCAAGGCCTCGAAACAGAGCAACAACAAGTACGCGGCCAGCAGCTACCTGAGCCTGCGCTCGAAAGCAGAGTGGAGCTCTGTCAGCAGCTTCAGCTGCCAGGTCACGCACGACGGCAACACTGTGGAGAAGACAGTGGTCCCCTCAGAGTGTTCGTAGGACCCTGAGTCCCCCACGTCTGGGGGCTCCCCTCAGCCGGACACTCCATTCCCCGGCTCTCCCTCTGCCCTGAGACCCCTGCCTGGTCTGCTCAGACTGGGCAGGTCTTGCTCCCTCCCCGTTTCTACTTCTCCTAAATAAATTCTAATCATTTATCATCTGACATTTCTCATGTGTGTGCTGTGTTCTGGAAGGGTCTCTAGGGTAAAGGTCAGTAACGAAGGGCAGGAGAGCAGTGACATGGGATGGATCTACCTCTGGTCCCCTCAGCCTGAATCAGGGCCAATGCCAGTGGGAGCCGAGACCCAGAGCAGGAACCTCTGGTGGGCTGACCCTTGGGACACAGTTCATTTCAGCTGGGAAGGGACAAGGGCTGACTAAGTGGGATCCAGAGCCCTGAGGGAAAATCAGGGAACAATGAGGAGCCTCCCAGGGGGTACCAGGAGGTTTCCAGTGGCTACACATGGAAATAATGGGCCAGGAAAACACTGAGCCAAGGCCATGGTCTTGGGGAACAGACATTGAACTTCCCTGTTTCATCAAGGAACCCAATGGGGCCCCATTACCAGGTGAGGGTCTTGTGGTTGCCCCTCACCTCAGAGACCTAGAATGTTCTTAACAGTGCATCCCATACTACATTTTTCAAGCTCTGACAATGCATGTTTGCTAAGTGAAGAACCTGACAAGTCTTTAAGCAGAGAAAATGTTTATTATCACATAGCCTAACAATTCCCTGTCATGTTCACGCCCCTGAGCAACTCAGGGAGCCTGAAGCACTTTATGACATGGCTAATCGTGCCAGCCACATGGGATGAGGCTGAGCCACAAAGAAGCTCTGTTTATGTTGTGATAGACCTGGGTCAGGGTCAGACTCAAGGTGACAGTAGCAGGGGCCTGGGACTTTCATCGTGAAGAGTCTTAACACCAGAAGTCGGAAAGGATGAGACATTTTTATGGTTGGTTTATGGATTGAGCAGGTGATGTCAGCCCCCAGGGTGTGAAGGACAGGGGAGTGACCTGATGAATTAAAGCTGGCACTTTTTTGGGCACAGAATGGGCATCCAGTCATATCTCAAGGAGCGCATATCAACTGGAATTCTGGAGTTAAGTAAGGGCAGGTCAGGCTAGCTCGGAGCAGGATGAGTGTGGCCTGTGGGTTTACAGCAAGGTCATGCTTCCCTGGTGACACAGCACCCCAAGACCACTCTACCCATGGGTGGGATGGCAGTGGGTATTCTTATGGTCACCTGAAAGTCTGGTTGGCAATCCGTACACGACCACCCTGTAATCAGCCAGTACAGGCCCAAACTAGGCAGTCACTGGGGAAGATAAGCCTGAGCCCCTGACCGGATCCTTTCCAACAGGAAGCTGACAGTGACTCCATACACGGGAAACCTGCCTCTCCCTGGAAGGGGGGAGTGGGGGGGAAATACATGGCGCCCTCCCCTCCTGGTCTTACCAAGGAGTTAGGGTTGTTTGGACATAAGAGAGGTGTGCCTTCCATTTCACAGAACCTCAGTGACAGTGACACAAATGCCCTCCAAACTCATCCCAAATCCCAGGACACAGTAGTAGAAACAGCACATCAGGCAGCAAATTCCTTGTTTCACAGTCTGTGTCTTCTACCTTGTAATCTGCTGGGGTGGGTGAGCAGTGAGCATGCCCCTTGCAGACCTCAAACAGCCAGAGGCCATGCCCAGGCTTCCCCCATCACAGCTGCAGGTGGGGGCTCAGGGGAGGGGCAGGGCCTCCCAGAGACAGGTTTTTGTATGAGCCTGTATCACAGTGTTGGGTGTTCGGCGGCGGGACCCAGCTGACCGTCCTAGGTGAGTCTCTCCTTCCCCCTCCTTCCCTGCTCTTCCAGGCATCCTGGTCATTTTCTGCTAATTTGCTCTTTTTCTGGGTCTTGTCTCAGCTGTGGCTAAGCTTCCACCCAGGATCCTAGCTCTTGGGAACCTGAGCTCTTCCCATGTCTGATCTTACTGTCCTTTTGCTTCTGCTGGTCACCATAAGCCCTTTACCTCTGACCCCAGGGAAGGAGGAATGGACAGGGTGACCTATGAACTCCTCTGTCTGTCTGCCTGGGTCAGGCTGGATGCTGGACAGATTCTGTTCTGTCTTCCCTTATGGGCTTTTGTGGGACCAGATTTCTTTCTAGGGGTCACTAGTTACCCCCTTTTTTAAGGGGAAGAAACAATAAGGGTGCACTGAGAGGGGAACCACCTGAATATTTTGGAAGGACCCAGAGCTTTGGGCCAAGGCTAGAGATGCGTGTGTCAGAATTCAGGGAAGCTCCTGGGGAACTTGGAGGTCATGAACAGGGACAGGAATGTTGCAGGAGTGGAGGGACCCCCGGGGCCTGCATAGAGCTCCATGCAGAGTCCTGAGCCAGCCTGGGACCCAAGGAATGTTGCAGGAGGAAGGACACAGGGAGGGGAGGAGATGGCGCTAGAGGAAGGGTCAGGGAAGGACAGGGCATGAGGACAAGGGGAGCTCCTGGGTCTCTGAAGGAAGAACATCCTCCCCCAAGGAAACACAGAATCTATGGCATGAAAGCTCTAATGATGACCAATTTGGGGAGATGTCATTAACTGTAGAATGAGAGACCCAAGGACAGACATATAGACTTCTCCCATCAGCAAAAATCCTAACCAGTTAGAGAGGGTGCAGGAGAGTTAGATATGTGCGGGCGACAGTTTAAGGAAAATACTCTAAACCCTGTAGCACCAATGGATCAGGTCAGAAATGTCCACAGATTGACCCAGTAAGTTGTTAGAGAGGTCAGATGATCCTTTGTGGGGACAAACAGACAAATAGACAAAGACAAACCCTGTCAGAATACCAGCTAGAGGCAGAGCCACGAGAGTGACAGTCAAGTGTGTGACTGAAGGGGGTCCAAAAGGAGAGGGGATGGCAGGTGTTTCTCAGGAAAATAGAGAGGTGCTTTTGGAACACCCCAAATTGCACTTCATGGCATGGCTTTTAGACCCAGAGTGGTCCCTGACCTAGGGATCCTGACAGGATCAGGACGCTGCACCCACATTGAGACTGAGGTCAGGGGCTTTCAGGGCGGATACTGAGCCTCTGACCTCCTTTCCCTCCCGCACCCCACAGGTCAGCCCAAGTCCGCACCCTCAGTCACTCTGTTCCCGCCATCCAGTGAGGAGCTTGACAAGAACAAGGCCACACTGGTGTGTCTGGTCAGTGACTTCTACCCCGGCAGCGTGACGGTGGCCTGGAAGGCAAATGGCAAGCCTGTCACCCAGGGCGTGGAGACCACCAAGGCCTCGAAACAGAGCAACAACAAGTACGCGGCCAGCAGCTACCTGAGCCTGCGCTCGAAAGCAGAGTGGAGCTCTGTCAGCAGCTTCAGCTGCCAGGTCACGCACGACGGCAACACTGTGGAGAAGACAGTGGTCCCCTCAGAGTGTTCGTAGGACCCTGAGTCCCCCACGTCTGGGGGCTCCCCTCAGCCGGACACTCCATTCCCCGGCTCTCCCTCTGCCCTGAGACCCCTGCCTGGTCTGCTCAGACTGGGCAGGTCTTGCTCCCTCCCCGTTTCTACTTCTCCTAAATAAATTCTAATCATTTATCATCTGACATTTCTCATGTGTGTGCTGTGTTCTGGAAGGGTCTCTAGGGTAAAGGTCAGTAACGAAGGGCAGGAGAGCAGTGACATGGGATGGATCTACCTCTGGTCCCCTCAGCCTGAATCAGGGCCAATGCCAGTGGGAGCCGAGACCCAGAGCAGGAACCTCTGGTGGGCTGACCCTTGGGACACATTTCATTTCAGCTGGGAAGGGACAAGGGCTGACTAAGTGGCATCCAGAGCCCTGAGGGGAAATCAGGGAACAATGAAGAGCCTCCCAGGGGGTACCAGGAGGTTTCCAGTTGCTACACATGGAAATAATGGGCCAGGAAAACACTGAGCCAAGGCCATGGTCTTGGGGAACAGACATTGAACTTCCCTGTTTCATCAAGGAACCCAATGGGGCCCCATTACCAGGTGAGGGTCTTGTGGTTGCCCCTCACCTCAGAGACCTAGAATGTTCTTAACAGTGCATCCCATACTACATTTTTCAAACTCTGACAATGCATGTTTGCTAAGTGAAGAACCTGACAAGTCTTTAAGCAGAGAAAATGTTTATTATCACATAGCCTAACAATTCCCTGTCATGTTCACGCCCCTGAGCAACCCAGGGAGCCTGGAGCACTTTATGACATGGCTAATCGTGCCAGCCACATGGGATGAGGCTGAGCCACAAAGAAGCTCTGTTTATGTTGTGATAGACCTGGGTCAGGGTCAGACTCAAGGTGACAGTAGCAGGGGCCTGGGACTTTCATCGTGAAGAGTCTTAACACCAGAAGTCGGAAAGGATGAGACATTTTTATGGTTGGTTTATGGATTGAGCAGGTGATGTCAGCCCCCAGGGTGTGAAGGACAGGGGAGTGACCTGATGAATTAAAGCTGGCACTTTTTTGGGCACAGAATGGGCATCCAGTCATATCTCAAGGAGCGCATATCAACTGGAATTCTGGAGTTAAGTAAGGGCAGGTCAGGCTAGCTCGGAGCAGGATGAGTGTGGCCTGTGGGTTTACAGCAAGGTCATGCTTCCCTGGTGACACAGCACCCCAAGACCACTCTACCCATGGGTGGGATGGCAGTGGGTATTCTTATGGTCACCTGAAAGTCTGGTTGGCAATCCGTACACGACCACCCTGTAATCAGCCAGTACAGGCCCAAACTAGGCAGTCACTGGGGAAGATAAGCCTGAGCCCCTGACCGGATCCTTTCCAACAGGAAGCTGACAGTGACTCCATACACGGGAAACCTGCCTCTCCCTGGAAGGGGGGAGTGGGGGGGAAATACATGGCGCCCTCCCCTCCTGGTCTTACCAAGGAGTTAGGGTTGTTTGGACATAAGAGAGGTGTGCCTTCCATTTCACAGAACCTCAGTGGCAGTGACACAAATGCCCTCCAAACTCATCCCAAATCCCAGGACACAGTAGTAGAAACAGCACATCAGGCAGCAAACGCCTTATATCAGTCTGTGTCTTCTACCTTGTAATCTGCTGGGGTGGGTGAGCAGTGAGCATGCCCCTTGCAGACCTCACAACAGCCAGAGGCCATGCCCAGGCTTCCCCCATCACAGCTGCAGGTGGGGGCTCAGGGGTGGGGCAGGGCCTCCCAGAGACAGGTTTTTGTATGAGCCTGTGTCACAGTGTCGGGTGTTCGGCGGAGGGACCCAGCTGACCGTCCTAGGTGAGTCTCTCCTTCCCCCTCCTTCCCTGCTCTCCCAGACATTCTGGCCATTTTCTGCTAATTTGCTCTTTTTCTGGGTCTTGTCTCAGCTGTGGCTAAGCTTCCACCCAGGATCCTAGCCCTTGGGACCCTGAGCTCTTCCCATGTCTGATCTTACTGTCCTTTTGTTCTGCTGGTCACCATAAGCCCTTTGCCTCTGATCCCAGGGAAGGAGGAATGGACAGGGTGACCTATGAACTCTTCTGTCTGTCTGCCTGGGTCAGGCTGCATGCTGGACAGATTCTGCTCTGTCTCCCCTTATGGGCTCTTCTGGGACCAGATTTTTTTCTGCGGGTCACTAGTGGCCCTGACCCTAAGGCGAAGAGGAGTAAGGAACAGCGAGGGGGTCACCGAGAGAATATTTTAAAGTGACCTAAACTTTCTGGTCCAGGATAGAGATGCCCAGGTCAGAGTGCAGGGAAGGTCCAAGGACCGTGGGGCTCATGAGCAAGCACCAGGAGTGTGCAGGGTGGAGGGACCCCGGGGCCTGCATAGAGCTCCATGCAGAGTCCTGAGCCAGCCTGGGCCCAGGGAGCCCTGCAGGAGGAAGTCACAGGAGAGGAGATGGGGCTAGAGGAAGGGTCAGGGAAGGACAGGGCATGAGGACAAGGGGAGCTCCTGGGTCTCTGCAGGAAAAACATCCTCCCTCAAGGAAACGCAGAATCTATGGCATGAAAGCTCTAGTGATGACCAGTCTGTGGAGATGCCATTAACTGTACAGTGAGAGAACCAAAGACAGACAGACAGACTTCTCCAGTCAGCANTGAGCTCTAGTGATGACCAGTCTGGGGAGATGCCATTAACTGTACAGTGAG